GACCAAATATGGTTATTCTCTGGATGAGTCAACCTACTTGACGTCATTTTAATGCTGCACGATGAGGTGTTTCACTCTTCTGCACGGACAAAATTTCGCAGACGCTGACGAAATGTATCCTAATCCGCCCAATACCGTTATTCTCGGAATGAGTTAACCTACTTGATGTCATTTTATTGTTGCAGGGTGAAGGGGTTTCACTCTTCTGCATGGACCACATTCCGCAGACACTGATGAAATATACCCCAATCCCTAACCAAGTAATTCCTTGAACGAGTCAACCTAATTGACGTTATTTTAATACTGCATGTTGACAAGTTTCACTCTCCTGCATAGACCACATTTCGAAGACGCTCGCGAAATGTATCCTAATGCGCTCAATATCGTTACTTTACCTGAATGAGTCAACCTACTTGACGTCATTTTAATGCTGCACGTTAAGGTGTTTCAGTCTTCTGCACGGACCGCATTTCGCAGACGCTGACGAAATTTATCCTAATCCGCCTGATATCGTTATTCTCTGAATGAGTCAACCTACACAGTGTCATTTTATTGTTGCACGATGAGGTGTTGAAGTCTTCTGCATGGTCCACATGTCGCAGACACTGAAGAAATATATCCCATTCCTTGATTAATTTATTCCTTGACCGAGCCAACCTACTTGACATCATTTTGATGCTGCATGGTGGGGTGTTTCACACTCCTGCTAGGACCACATTTCGCAGACGCTCACGAAATGTAATCTAATCCGCCTATTTACGTTATTCCTTGAGTGAGTCAACCTACTTGACGTCATTTTAATGCTGCTTGGTAGGGTGTTCCACACTCTTGCATGGAACACGTTTCGCAGACGCTGACACAATGTATCGTAGTTCGCCCAATATCGTGATTACAGAACGAGTCAACCTACTTGACGTTATTTTAATATTGCACGTTGGGAAGGTTCACTCTCATGCATGGACCACATTTCGCAGGCGCTCACGAAATATATCCTACTTCGCCCAATCACGTTATTCCTAGAATGAGTCAACATACTTGACGTCAGCTTAATGCTGCTTGGTAGGGTGTCTTACACTCTTGCATGGACCACATTTCGCATACGCTCACAAAATGTATCCTAGTTCGCCCAATATCGTGATTCCAGAACGAGTCAAACTACTTGACGTTATTTTAGTATTGCATGTTGGGAATTTTCACTCTCCTACATGGATCGCAATTCTCAAACGCTGAAGAAATGTATTTTATCTGGTAATTATTAAAGCTACTGAAACGGTCAACAACTATCTCTCTCCCTCTCTTCCTCGCCCTGTTTCTCTCTCTATTGCCGACAGCACAGCTACGTATCAAATTAAGTGAACTCTTAGGGAAACCAGTTGACATAGGCAACAATGTACGGCCCTGACTCTGTGACGTTATTTTAATATTACATGTTTGGAAGTTTCAGTCTCCTACATGGATCGAAATTGTCGAACGCTCAAGAAATGTATCTATCTTACCTGGTAATTATTAAAGCTACTGATACGGTCAACAAATATATATATATATATATATATATCTTTCTATTGCCGCCATCACAGCTACGGTCCTGACTCTGTATGCACTAAGTGAGAATATATTTATATACCTTGTTTGTTGTAAGTGTTTCAATATACGGACCTCGTTAGGTTAAGAGCTCGGTCGGTCCTCACTTTGTCCTATATACAAGTCATAAATTCAAAATAGATTTTTCCGTGTATACTCGCCACTTTTAGATATAACAATGGCGTGCTACCAGATCATGCCTTAAATCACATTTGTTGCTGAATTTCTTCTGGTGATCCTCACTTTGTATGGTATACAGTCGGTCCTTACATTGTATGCAAGCCAAGTATATATATATATATATATATATGAGTTATGTACCAGTCTATAGAGAAGAATATGCTGAACAAGGACTTTTGCCTCCATGTTCCTTTCTTATCAGTTACAGTATTGTATTTCATTTGTTCTTTACTTTGGTTTGTATAATGAACTTAGCAGTCAGTCTCGATTCAGAACTCATTCAATTAACATCATTGTATTTGGTTATTCTCAAAAATAAATCTTTTTTAAAAACGTTTTCGTTCGTTTCAACGGTTTGCTGGCTATAACGAAACCAACCGCGATTGGTCGCGAACGATCCGACGGAATATCGATATCGTTACCGTGATCACCGGAACCAGATTTGGATAGAACCCTACCCAAATCGAGAAACCAATAAGACAGCAGCCCAGAGGACAGAAGGAACATCTGCTCCAGGACAGGCAACCCAGTAGTGGCCCAGGCATACGGACACATGGGACGGATTGGATTACTACTGTAATTACGAATGTCTTACAGGGGTGAAAACAATCAAGAGCTGTTTGATGATACATTGAGTGACACTGATTCGGACTCACAGTCGGATACGGAACATATCCAACATAGTTTAAGGAATTTGCAATTAAGACCTAGTATACTAAATAGTACAGTCAATATGAACAACAGTCAAGTAAATCAATCAAGCATGTCATTAGGCCCAGAGTATCTTAACATGATACCCGAATTTTATGGTCAACAAGAATTATTACCAAGATTCATAGATTCAAATACACAGTCGGGATTTAGAAAAAATCATAGTACTGTGACTGCATTAGTTGACATTTGTGATGACTACTTGAGAGCTATAGATAATTCCTGTGTAACTACAACTGTTCTGTTGGATTTAAGAAAGGCATTTGACTGTTTAAACCACAAAATGTTATTGGCTAAGCTGCACTTTCTTGGTTTTTCTGAGAATTCGTTTACATGGTTTGACAATTACCTATCAGATCGACTTCAACAAGTTAAAATAGGCAGGGAATATTCTGACAATCGGGTCATTGTAAAGGGGGTGCCGCAAGGTTCCATTTTAGGACCAATGTTATTTACTTTATACGTGTCGGACTTGGATCGGTCGGACAAAATTGCGCCTTACATTCTTATGCTGATGATTCCCAGCTTTATCTATCCTATGATCCCTCCTCATGTGTTGATGCTAATGAAAAACTAGCACTAGATTTAAGCGGCGTTTGTGATTAGTTCAGATACCACGGGTTACACATAAACTGTAGCAAATCGGCCTTAATTACCTTCCGCTCTAAGAAGAACGAGTTCAGTGGAGATGCTATAAAGCTATGCCTCAATAGTGAGGAGCTCATACACAAAACATCGGTATTAAACTTAGGAATAATCTTTGATGAGCACTTAACTTTTCATGATCATATTTCTAAGGTTGTACAGAGATCTTTTGCTAAACTAAAAAGCATCTACAGCTTTAAGCACGTGTTGGCTCAAGATACTAAAATTAAGCTTTGCGATTCAGTCATTTTAAGTAAGTTAGAATATGGAAGTTCCATGTTTGGTCCCTGTTTGACTGAAGCCGAAGCTTACATACTTCAGAAAGTGCAGAACAGCTGTATTAGATATTCTGTTGGAATCCGAAGAAGGGAGCGAGTGTCTCCATTTATTCAAGAAGTGAATTGGTTGACGATGAGACAGAGGTGGTTATTTCACATTTTATGTTTGGTTCATAGCATTTCATTGACCAAATACCCTATATACTTAACCTTTAACTACTCGCGCTGGTGTATATAGTACACCAAAATGGCGCCGAGGGCTGCCGAGTCCATGCGAATAGCTGTTCGTCCGCGCCGAGCCAGGTATGCCTCGCTCGATGTATCTTCCAGATGTAGCGCCAGTACGGTTCGGATCGCTAGAGGACAAGGTTAGATATTTCAAGAAGTTTGAGGTGGTGTACAAAATACACCAAGGCGAGCAGTTATGTAAGTAGATAGTGGAATGTATTTTTTTTAGGTTTTCCATGAAAACTTATTTGTAATGTAGTCTGTATATTTGTATATAATTAAACATCGATTATATGTTTTGAATTAATTGATTTATTCATTCAAGGAATCGAGTTAAGGTGAAAAATCCTCAAAAATTGACCCAAGATGAATTAGCGGCTATAGCCCAAGTTATATGTGATACGGATACCGAGGAAGAAGTTGGAGGAGAAGGAGATTCTGATGGAAGTGAACAAGTAGAGGAAGAAGCACACAATTCGGATTCAGAACAAGAAATAAGCGAACTAGAAGAAGTGGATGAAGTGGATGTTGATCAAAGTAGTTCTGATTCTGAAGATATCCTGCTCTCGGTGTTAGCGGCCAATAAACAAGATAAGTATATTGGCAAAGACAAAAAGACTATTTGGTATAAAAATTATCCCATGAGTAAATCCAGCAAGTCCAAAATAAAAAACATTATAAAAATACTACCAGGGCCAAAGCAATGCGCACGTGACATAACCGATGAGACAAGTGCGTTTTCGAAAATTTTTGATGATGAAATGATTGAACATATTATTCACTGTACTAATTTAGAAATTTCAAGAGTTAGGGAAAACTATGATCGAGAACGAGACGCAAAGGACGTTACAAAAACGGAAATGCTGGCTTTTATAGGCTTACTGTTTTTATCTGGATCTAAAAAGCAAAACCACACCCATTTTTTGGAATTATGGACAAAAGACGGTACCGAATCAGAAATATTTCGAGCTTGCATGAGTTATCAAAGGTTTCTTTTTCTGCTGGCAAATATTCGATTTGATGACAAAACAACAAGGCATGAACGCAAGAAAATAGATAAATTGGCCGCAGTGCGGTACGTTTTAGATAAATTTGTAAGTAATTGCAAAAAAAACTACTCTATGGGCGAATTTATGACAATAGACGAAATGTTGATTGCGTTCCGAGGACGATGCAGCTTTGTCCAGTACATACCAAACAAACCTGCGAAATATGGTTTGAAGGCATTTGTGCTCTGTGATGCTAGAACATTTTATGTGAGTAATTTGGAGCTGTACTGTGGAAAACAACCAGATGGCCAATATAGCCAATCTAATACACCAACTGCCATCGTTCACCGTTTGCTAGCAGAACAAAAAGGAAGCAATAGAAATCTAACCTCCGATAATTGGTATTCAAGTTACCCTTTGGCAGTGGAACTTCTTCAAGACAAAATAACTTTCATCGGAACCCTGAAGAAGAATAAGCGAGAGCTGCCGATAGAGTTCTTGCCAAATAAAAATAGGTTGGTTGGGTCATCACTTTTTGGATTCCAAAAGGATGTAACGATAGTTTCACATGTCCAAAAAAAAATAAATGCGTGGTTTTGATTTCAACTATGCACGACGACTCCACTATTGATCCATATACCAACAAACCTGAAATAATTCTAGATTATAATATGACCAAAGGGGGTGTGGACACAGTGGACAAAATGTGCAATACTTATTCTGTTGGAAGAAGAACAAAAAGGTGGCCATTGGCTTTCTTCTTTCAGTTGCTAAATATAGCAGGCATCAATAGCCAAATTTTGTATAACGGCACTCACCCTGAATCTCCTCACAAGTCCAGAAGAATTTTCCTGAAAACTCTTGCTCTGTCATTGATGAAACCTTTTCTTTCTGAAAGAGCTGCAATACCTACGTTACCTATAGATATCAGACATTTCCTATCCAGATATAGACAAACTCAAATGGATGAAGGAGAGGAGCCACCCAGAAAAATTAGAGGAAGATGCTCCATCTGCGCCCGAAAAAAAAATAGAGTTACCACAATTACATGCAGCATTTGTCACCAGTTAGTGTGTAAAGAGCATAGTGTCAACGTTATCACCTGCCACAAATGTAAGGAAGGCGGATCCCATAGTGAATAGAGAATTATTAATTATGGTTGTTTTTTTCAATTTATTTTTACTGTCTTATTTGATTTTGTTTACTATTTTTGCTAATAAATATGTATTTGAGTTCAACAGTTGCTCTTATTACCACAGCTATAACTTATAGGGCAAACAAAACATATATTTGGATCATAACTTGCAACGGTGTACAAAATACACCGCGCGAGTAGTAACGTGAAATAAAAATGCGCGAGTAGTTAAAGGTTAAATAATAAGTTATCCTTGAGAAGTCAGCATCATGCAGCCAACCTTCGTTTCGTTGGTTACACCCTTAATTTCTTATATTATTTAGTTTTTAACTTATGTAATGGTGTAACTGTTAACTGTGACTATATATGATTTTTTCTTTAAATTAAAAAAATGCCTATTCTTGGCATAATAGATTTTTCATTATTGTTACTCAACAATGTTTATGTCTCCCAGATTTTGTATTATAATTTTGTTTGGCCCTGGTTGGTATGAAAAACAGCTTTTAGCTGACACCCGCCAGGTTAAATAAAGGCTATTATTATTATTATTATTATTATATTTGCGAAAAATTAGTGAATAAATTTTATAGATTAGAGGATGAAAATGACTTCTAGAACGAATATCTTATGAGTAGTATTTTCGCGAAAATCAAAGGTAATGCAGCTTTAAATATTAGTAGCAATATTATAAAAAATTGGACAGACTTGAAAACTGCACTTTTAAATACATATCAAGACAAGCGTGACGTATTTACTCTAAATATAGAAATGTGTGAATTGAAACAGAACAATGAAACCCCCTTTGAATTTTATAACAAAGTTCAGAGTTTATTGAATTTACAAATATCTTTTTAACTACACATTGTGTGAGTGAAGAAGCTCAGATAGTATGTAATTTTTGCAAAAGCGTAGCATTAAGAGTATTTCTAAAAGGTTTCAAGGAACCTCTAGGATCACTCATGAGGACGAAAAATCCTACAGACTTGAATGAAGCTCTGAATATAATAACTAACTAATTTCAGCTTGACCATAAGGTAGATAAACATAAAAATGTTAATCGAAATAATATGCAATTAGTTCGCCATATGAACAACAACTTTGGTAATTATAGGTATCAATACCAAGCGGTACAGCGTCCAGTATTACAAAGACAATTTAGTCCTAATAATGTACGACCAAATAATCCTAATCAGAATAGAACGAATTTTCACAATAATAACGTTTTTAGACCTAATCAGATCAATAATCTGCCAAAGCCTACTCCGATGAGTACATCCACTAGACAGACGTATCAGCAACCAAATTTTCAAGGTAGAAATTTTAACAGACCTGGTGTAAACGCAGAACAGGCTATGTTTAAGTTGTGTGTACAAGACCAACCTGTTGTAGAATTTCCAAATGATGACAATTATGAATGCGCTTATTCTCAGAATAATTCTGACGATTTTTCAGGGCAAGAAGCCTCGGTACAGATACAACCACAAGTTTCAACGGACCACCAAAGTCAATTGAAATTATGAGTTTAACCGACAAATGTAGCAAACTACCATACATTGTATTTCCGGAGTATAATCTCAAAGTATTGATTGACACTGGAAGTACAAAATCTTTCATACACCCTGAAATTGCGAAAAAATTATTTTCAAGACATATTCAAGAAGACCCATTTCAAAACACTTCAGCACATGGTTCATCTATCGAACAATATAGTATGACAATACCTTGTCCAAAGATTTTTAAGAATCCAAATATTCTCATGAAATTTCATTTATTCAAGTTTCACGAACATTTTCAATGCCTTTTAGGACTCGATAACCTGAAAGAGATATTGAATGCCAACATTGATTTGAGCAATGATCTTTTAGTCACACCCACAACAAGGATACCCATGCAATATCACGAGATTACAAAAAATTCTTCTAATGTTATCACTGTTCCACCTAGAACAGAACAGATAATTAAAGTTAACATAAAAAATTTAAAAAATGGTAATGCTATTATTCCATACAGAAAATTATCATGTTTAGAAATCCCTGAATGTCTTACTACAGTGAAAAATCACGAAGCGATTTGCACAGTATTAAATTTATCTGAAGAACAGGTTTCTCTTGACATATCTCGACCAATAGATGTAGAAAATTTTGAAAATTACGAATTTTCAGAAAATTCTGATCCACCGAATATTAATTCTTTGAACTTTCAAAAATATAAATTTGATATTTCCAAAATTAGGACAGAGCATATGAACTCTGAAGAAAAAGACTCAATCACCAAGTTAGTAAGAGAGTATTCAGACATATTTCACATAGATGGTAATTACTTAACTTTTACGAGCAAAATTAAGCATCATATACGTACAAGCAATGAAATACCCATTTACACTAAATCATACAGATATCCTGAAATCCACCGAAAAGAGGTACAAAGACAAATACAATCAATGCTTGATCAAAAAATTATTAGAGAGAGCAATTCAGCGTGGTGCTCACCTATATGGATTGTTCCAAAAAATTAGACGCATCGGGAAAGCAAAAATGAAGAATAGTCATAGACTATAGAAAATTGAATGAAAAAACATTGGAAGATCGTTATCCTCTTCCAAACATAACAGATTTGTTAGATAAATTAGGGCGATGCCAATATTTTTCAACACTAGACTTAGCTTCAGGTTTTCACCAAATAGAAATGGCAAAAGAGGATATTCAAAAAACTGCATTCAATACAGAAAATGGACACTACGAGTTTATAAGAGTGCCATTTGGACTAAAAAACGCGCCAGCGACTTTCCAGCGTGTAATGGATAACATACTGAGAGGTATTCAAAATGAAAAATGCTTAGTATATTTAGATGACATTATAATATTCAGTACTAGTTTACAGGAACACATTTATCGACTTAGAGAAGTTTTTGAAAGGTTACGTCAGTCAAATTTTAAATTACAGCTAGACAAATCGGAATTTCTTAGAAAAGAAGTATCGTATTTAGGACATGTTGTAACGGCGGATGGTGTGAAACCAAACCCCGATAAGATAAAGGAAATCACAGAATTTAAAATACCAAAAACTAAGAAGCAAATTAAAGGCAGATTATATTAAATGTTTCGAATTATGCAAGACTTTATTGACAAACGATCCGATACTCCAATATCAGGATTTTTCCAAACCATTCTTGATAACTACGGATGCAAGTAATTATGCAATCGGCGCAATATTATCCCAAGGTAAATTAGGCTCAGATTTACCAATAGCGTACGCCTCACGAACATTAAGTGATTCAGAAACAAAGTATAGCACGACAGAAAAAGAACTTCTAAGTATCGTATATGCTGTAAAATATTTCAGACCTTATATTTTCGGACGTAAGTTTACTATTGTAACAGATCACAAAAGCCTCCAATGGTTATTTTCAGTTAGAGATGCTAGTTCAAAATTACTAAGATGGCGCTTAAGATTAGAAGAACATGATTTTGACATTGTTTACAGGAAAGGCAAATCAAACACAAATGCGGACTTTTTATCTAGAATAGAAGTAAATGTTAATGAAACAGGAGCACCGACTCCACTGGCACAATACATGAAAGAATTTAATAGAAATCTTGAAAATCAAGCGGGTCCATCGAATATTTCCAATATTCCGAATCAGACCGATAACTATTTGATCGCACCTCAACCCAATGATTTAGATAAAATCGATGAAAATGAAAATGATTCATCAGGACACACCGTTCATTCTAATATAGAAAATCCCACGATAAATATTCCAATTAGTGATACAGCAGTAAATTGTATTGCACCAAAGGTAAAATATTGTTTATATTTTGAAGACCCAGTCTATGAAAAGTTTAGCGTAGTTCTTCAAACATATTTCAAAAATTCCCAAATAAATCTAGTAAAATGCACAAAGAAATTGATAGACGTTACAGATCAAAATGAGATTAAGGATATAATTAAGAATTATCACGAAGGTAAAACCAATCATCGAGGAATCGATGAAACTGATAAAAGAATAAAACAAATATATTATTGGCCGAATTTAAGAAACTCGATACAGACATATTAATGAGTGTGAAATCTGTCAGTTAACAAAATACGACAGACATCCGTTAAAACTTGAATATAATATTACGCCAATGCCTACGAAACCATTCCAAATTTTATACGTAGACACTATTTCTTTAGAAAAAAAAATTGACTATGACCGATTCATTTTCAAAGTAGGCTTACATGTTGAATTCTGAAAATGGAGTAGAGGTAACAAATAATTTAAAAAATTAATTAGTATAGATAAGAAATTAAAAAGAGCGGATATAGATCCCACACATACCAATACTTCCAAAAATATCCATTTATCCAATATTAAAAGGCCCAGGAAGAAATCTTATCAATTTAAATTTACTAATATTTCAGATAACTCATCTATTTCGGATGCGGAGCAGAAATAAGAAACATAACGAACAATTTAGGAATTTTGCCAGTAAATTTAGGCACAGCTAGGCTACAAAAGACAAAACAT